CAAGAGATCTGGTGGATCGCTTGTATGTAAACAGGCATTCCTGCCTGTTTTTAAATTTGGGCAGGTTCCCGCTCGCACGCGCCAGTGGCTGACGGGACGTTTAAATATGCCCGCTCAGATGTAGTAAGCTGCCAGCCTTATTTTTACAACGGCCGTGAGGCGGTTAATAGGTCAATTATTTAAAATTTAAGCTTGAGGCATGTATAAATCCATAAACAGTCTTTACTACATTATACATAATAATATATATCAGGTGAGCTTCTCTGTGGACGTGGGGAACTTTTAATGTATTTTATATTTTAATGTTTCTGGGGGTGGAATAATTGTGTCAAGCAACAATTAGGCAGTTGTACAACTTTTATTTATGTCCTTCTTTTTTTATTTGAGTATTTAAGTTTTTTTCATTCTTTTTTTTTTTTTTATTGCAATTATTTAGGTATTGATTCGGAAGGTCATGCTGCAAATTTTGTTGAAACTGAACAAATTGTGCATTTTAATGGAGCAAAAGCTTCATTTGTTCAAGTAAGTTTTGATTCCATTTTCTGCACATTAGGTGTAAGTATTTTGCTATAGGATATGTAATTCATAGTTGATGGCAGGCCATTATAAAAGTAAAATCAACAAGAAGAAAAAGCAACATAAATTGGAGACTAGCAAGGTAGAAACTATAGCAGCACTCTAAGCAAATAGTTAGTGTTAAACCGCAGGTTTTGTAGAAGAACCCAAAACAACTGTTTTTTGTGGGGTGAAAATATGATCCAAGTTTATTGATCATGTAGACATGGTACTTTAACAGCAAAAGGAAAAGTGCTAAATTGTTTACATTCTAGGATATATTTATACAATTTTGCATGTATATGCAAAAAAGCTATATAACATACGCCTGATTACTGCCAACAAAACCCACCTATGTGACCCTCTAGACCTCCAAACTTCTGTGGGTTTCCAGAAGACATTCTTATCGTTTACCCATACAAGTTGGCTGGGTACAGGTCAACTTAGTGTTTTAAGAAAGAACGAAAGAAAACACCGGGCGCCTGACCTGGTGCAGTAATCCTTTTTATTGGTGAAAGTAATAATAAAATACAATGTACTCACAAGTGGAGCAAGAAAAATTTCAAATTGGACTGACAGTCCTCACTCGATGAACTGCTGTGGAGATGAATAAATTGTCCAGTTGTTTTTTTATACAGTGTCACTTTTTGTATCTTATCCATTTGCATTTTTTGTTCATGTATGTTTTAAGAGCCCTGCTGTTGTTGTGTGGAGCCGTGACACCGTCTTCATGCCGGCCCTCTGCAAACTGTGTTTTACATTGATGAGCGGCTCAATGAGGTTTGTGTCCGAGCGCCTGACATTCTGGCAGCGGGGTGGGGGGATTTGTCATGCACAGTCATTTTTAATGATGTACTATTAGATGCATGACTATCTTGTTTTATGCCATCTTTCCATTTAATTTTTGATCAATTACCGCCAGAGTATGTGTTCTCATGTATAGGATAGATTTCCCCGTTCTCCTGATGTAAGCAAAACCCCCTTAGTCTCGATTGGTCAGACTAACAGGTTTCCTAGCAACTAAATACATTTTGCTGATAGGCCATTTTTCGATCCCTTAGAGGCTCATTGATTGAATACAGAGTATAAATTAGCACATCGTTAGTCAGCTACTCGGCTCTGAAGAAGGGGAAGTTCTCAGAAAACGCGTTAAGCTAGAGGAAGCGTGACTCTGCTCATGGCAGAGCCCCGGGACATTTTATTAATCTCCACAGCAGTTCATTGAGTGAGGACTATCAGTCCAATTTGACATTATTCTTGCTCCGCTTGTGAGCACATTGTATTTTATTATTACTTTCACCAATAAAAAGGATTACTGCACCAGGTCAGGCGCCTGGTGTTTTCTTTCTTTCCTATGCAGCCTTGAGGGATCCCTTGTCTGTTATGGGGTGGCTGTGCTGGATTCCAATTAACCCTTTGGACCACAGGAGGGCTCCTTTGGTTGTGTATATTTGGCGCTGGTCTTGTCATTTTTGCAACGTAGTGTTTTGCATTCTTAATACCATAAACAATTGGCACCTCTCATACATTCACACAACTCTGTTTATTAACCTTCGATGGGACCATCAAGCTTGGCACCACCTGCAAGGTCTGGCACTCAGTCTTCCAAAGCCTCATACATGTCTTCCTCTGCATGAAGGTGCACTCCCACTTTTCGGACTGTGGGGACAGTTGTTGACCTTCGTAGACACTTGGGCAGCTTGCACCTCAGATGCTTGGATGCAAAAGGGGGCATCACAAAGCTAAAACTGTAGTTTTTATGCCTGCCCCATCCTCGGTTTCTCACATCCTTCTGTCAAGGCTGTCTTCTTTCAGATTCAGAAATTCTAAATGGAATCCACTAGATTTATCATTGCCTCTTTTCACCATGTAGACTTTCTGGCCTCTGTGGACATAAATGATTACTTCCGTGTCTCCATCTTTCCAGCACATCAGCTATTCCCATGCTTTGGTGTGGGACCTCTACATTACCAGTTCTTGGTTCTGCCCTTCAGCCTTTGCGTCTGCACCTTAGATATTCACTTAGAGTTCTTAGAGTTCAAACTGCAGGCTGATGAAAAAAAAATAAAACAAATTTCTCCATCTGCACTAAACAGTGTGAATGGACGAATTCCCTGCTGGGCTGTTGTATTCTGACAATGGCATGTGTGCCGCTGTCACATTACTCGAACAGTGACGGCAACCAGTGGGCTGCTGTGACTGTGTGTCCAAATATTTTCCCACTGGTTCCTTCAATTTTCTGGTCAAAGGATGCTGGATGGAAGACTGCCAACAGAAGGCCACCCATTAGGCAAATTCCAGCCTGTTCTTAAAGAACTGACCAAAATTCACAGAGTGTATGATTAGCTTTAGATGACCTCCTGTTGAAGTCGGCCAGGTCTCTCGGATCCACGTGTCTCTTGACTCTCTTAGGTGGGTCCTAAACCTTCAGAAATTGTTGCTGGAAATTACTCATTGCTTGGAGTATCTAAGTCTAGTGCTGGAAATGACTCATTGCTTTTCCTCCCTTAAAACTTCTTCCTCATCTGCTCCTTTGGATCAAGATGGAGGGCATTCTATTGATCCTCATTGCTCTGAACTGGCCCAGGCGGATGTGGTTCACTGACCTAGTGAGACTCTTGACAGGCACTCCTTGGGCATTGCCAGATCTGATTTGCTATCCTTCTCAGTTGCGGACTTTATTGGTATGGCTGCTAAAGCCCAGGTTCTGAGCAACAGGGGCATCTCTATATCTGTGATTTTATATGGTGTTTAAAGCCTAGAAGACTACTTTCTACAAGGTCAATCATTGGACGTGGAATGCATACTTGATTTGGTGTGTCTCTTGACGCCACCTCAGAATAAATATTCTCCCTCCTACTGCTGAGTCTGGACCAGTGTTTGGCTATTAGCACTATCAAGGACAGGTTCCCACAGTATGTATCCTGTTTCAGAGAACATTATCCTCTCATTCCTTGAATATGACTTTTTTACAGCTACCCTCATCCATTCCCCAGTGACTTTGTGGGACCTATACCTGGTTCCCTCTGCACTTCAGAAACCGCCGTATGAACTCATTACTCGCACCCACACAGTGGTTTTTGTTTTGTAGTCTGAACTGGCAGCTTTATCCAGCAAAGAACCCTTTTTGGTCTTGCATACAGACAAGGTGGTGTTGAGGCTCAGGACTTCCTTCTTGCCTACCTGCATTTAACCTTAACAAGGACATTGTTCTTCCATCCCTCTGGCTCCAGTTCACCAAAAGGAACTTTCCCTCCATTGTTCGGATGTAGTTGACGCTGTGTAAGTCTATATCACAGCCACTGTTTCTTTCAGAAAGAGTGATTCCTTTTTGTGACCCTGGAAGGGTGCACCAGCTTCTCGTTCCATCATCTTTAGATAGCTAAGACAGACCACCTTCAAAGTTATAACCTTAAGGATTGGGTTCCACCTTTTCTTGTCAAAGCCCACTTTACTAAAAAGGTGAGGACTTCTTGGGCTTTTTGGCATCAAGCAACAGTTTCCAAGATTTACAAGGCTGCAATCTGGTTTTCTCTTGCACGTTCTCTAAGTTCTACTAGGTGGTTACTAGATGGGGCTGAGGTGCATAGGAAAACGATGCTTCTTTCCTATTCTCCTCAGGTCCACCTAGTGGCCATGGTGCAATATTTACCTGATATTACATTTGACCTGGGAAAAAGTGTACTAATATTTGTTTTTGCCTTTATTGACATAGAATAAATGCTGTTTTGCAGAACGAATGGCACTACAATTTTTTTTTATAAATTCACACCTTTGCAGATAAACCGTTTTATATTGGCCTCATCTTTCCCTGTATTTTTGAGACCTGTCATCACAGGCCCATGTAAACACTAATTTGTTTACATTTTAGTTGCCTATAAACCAGGATTAAGAACAAGGAAGACCTTTTTAGATTTCCTTTCCAAGATGTGCATTCTGCTAAGCGTACCTTTTGTTGTGGAAAATCAAAATGTGATGTGATCTGTGAGCTGTTTGGCTCTCTTCAGTGGCAGGAGCCATACATTTTGATTGCGTTACTGTACACTGTGAAACCACTGAATATCCATGTAATCACTGAAGAAACATCAGCAGCTTCTGGTAGAAGGCGGCTCCTGCTTGGCATTCAACAGCAGACTTAATATCTAGTGGGGTACCTGGTTCTTCCTTGTTCACCAGTCTGCACTTGCTGCTTTCTACGTGCTGCAAATAACTGCATGTAAACAATACAATATTTACGCTGACATTAATCTATGACTACTGCTCACAAAGCACAAGGAAATAAAGGTAATAAATCATGTTTATAAGCTTGGTGTCCCCGGAAAAATAAAAAATTGCTTTTTTTTTAAGTATCCTTAAATATTGAATAACTAACAAAATACAAATTTTTAAAACTGTTTTGTTTGTGTTCTTTCTTTCAGAGTCGAGGGTCAATTCCATTTTTCTGGTCACAAAGACCAAATCTGAAATATAAACCGAAGCCTCAAATCAACAATGCTGTAAATCATGTAAATAGTTTATTTATTTGCTCTAAACACATTGGCTGTGTCTTTTTCTATGATTTATGATAGCTTACACTCTCTACATATACTGGCCAAAGTCGGGTATCTTTTTGTATGTTGGAAGTTTAACTTCTTTAGAAAACAACATTGTTTCTGCTAAAAGTGTGTGTGTGTGTGTGTGTAATATAAATAAATAAATATATATACATACATACATACATACATACATACATACATACATACATACATACATACATACATACATATAATAAAGTGTGTGTGTGAAAATAATAGATGCTTGGCTGTCTGACTGCAGGATGTTTCAGTCCCAGTTCCACATGCAGCATGCTGACAGTGTTCCTTTTAATTGTTTATTTTATAGTGATCAATAGTTCTACTCTTTAATGTCAAAGTAAAAATAGCTCTCTGTAAAGTAATTTAGGGTATTTACAATGAAAATAAACACACAAAATAGATTGCCTGCAAAAGTATAGACCTTCTTTAATGTCGCACATAAATCTTCACTAGTGCAGCCAATTCTTTTCCACAGTCACATAATTTGTTAAATGGTGATCACCTGTTTGTAGTCAAGGGGTCTCGAGTGATTTTAGTATAAATATTCATGCATCTGGAAGGACCAATTTCTGGTGAGTGAGGCAGCATAACCTACACAAGCTATGGGACGTGCTAATCTGTTGCATTAAGGCAACCTATTTATTATCAATGGGCTGCAAACATACCACTATGGATAAAAAAAATACGCATTAACTTTTTTCAAAACGCAGTGCAGCACACCACGATGCATATACCATGTGTTGTGATGCATTACACTCTAATTTACAGTCAGTTGTGGTGTTATTCACAGTGAATAGCACTGCAACACACCACGCATAGAGCAGGTTGTTGCCATGCATTGTGGCAATGCGTGTTGCCACAACACACAAGTCTGAATGGGTCCTTTCTATAGGCACTGTATAAACTCCATTAGGATCATATATTTAGAGTGGTTTTAAACACAGTACACAGAGATGAAAGGCATGATTACTTACCAAATAGCTTCTGGGGTGGCTGGCCAACCTGCCTAAAGGTGCCCATACACCTTACGACCATCGCAAGACTTTTGTCTTGCGATGGTCGTAAGCTTATTAAAAGCTCGTACGATCTGCCCATCTTGGACAGGCAGATCGTACTTGCGATCATCGAAAGCCCGCCCCGCTGAGGGGCGGGCTTCCGATGACCGCAATGCAGAACGGGCAGTGTGCGCGTGCGCACACCGGCCAGTTCCGCAGCTGTCGAACGAGCAGGCTAGAAACCCGCCGACAATCGTACGATTCTCGGCGGGGTTTCGAGCATGCTGGTTCGACAAAAGACGTGCGACCGTACAGTA